AAGGCAGGCAGGCAGATAGATTGTCCTTGCATTTTTAATTAAATTCAGTCTACTCTTGATGCACAAATATATGGGAATGGTAAAACACTAGGAGCGTATTTCAAATTTTTTTATCGCGCTCACTTTTTACGTTTCAATAAACATTTGTTATTGCTACTGCTCAAATTAGCCGTCTGCCAGTGTCTACAACTCCCTGTCCATGGCTTTCAGTTGTAACTGCATTTTCTTTCAGTTTTTTTGCGCTTTTTGAAACTCTCTTTCGCTAATGAGTCTTTGCTTGATTGCGGCTGAATCTCTAACAAAATAATATTATTTCAGCAAGACTCCTAGAAATTTCTCAGCATTCCGTAATTTGCCTTCAGCCTGGAGCGGTCTTTGTGGGGTAATGTCTGTCAGAGCCCATTATCTACTCCAAAAGTCCGTGAAATGTATGTTTTATGTGGACGTAGTCCACTTGAGCTTCCAAATTGAATGTGCTGCAGTCCTCTAGCTCCGAGCATGAAATTCCATAATGAAATTGTGCAGAAGACGCAGGAACAGGGCAATACGAATTGAGCGAGATGGACACCCACAAAACCTATGGCCATAGGCCTGTCACGTGCCAAGCCATGGTCGGCCGACTGCCGGTCATTCTGCCTAGATTGTGCCTGTATTCTGGCTCGGAAGTGGACTGGAGTGGGTGTGGGTCGGGGGGACTGGGGACTGGTCCAGGCTCCTTCTACGGCTGGTGGTGCTGGTCTGCAACAGCCATCCTTGGGATGTCAATTCTGTTTGCATTTTTCGCATGAAATTGACGTTTCATTTGTTATAATATGCATTGAGGCAACATTTCGATACTCATAAATATTTAACAGGCATTCATACGTTGGGAGAAACGTTGAGGGAGCCACAGGCTCGGCTGCATCGGCATGCGGCATGCGATATCTGATATCGAGGGGAACTGGGAATTGGGAAATGGCTGCAAGACCCCGGAATGGGCTCTGGCTGCCAGGCAGCCGTATATGTGCTTGAACATTATAGTCGTAAAAATACCAGCGCCGCCAAAAGGTTCCCTCAGACGAAACTTCTGCATTGGACATGGCCGTTGACACATGCAACAACAACATAATCAAAAGCGAAGCTAAAAACCGGAAAGAAATACACAAAAAAATGTTTCCGACTTCAAAATACCTAGAAATTCTTTGAAATAAATTCAGCACTATGCTTTTCAAAACAATTGCTATTGAACTTAACTAAGACATTGGAAACAGCTTTCTTAGAGATTAACAAAAAAAGTATTGTATATAAATGCCAGTATATATATTTTAAAATAATTATTTAATTTATTAACGCTTACAGAAGTACAAGAATGTATATACTTGCATTTTTGCACGAATACAATATAACCTTTTCTTTATTTAATTTAATATTAATTTAATATAGGTTTCATTAAGGCTAGATAAATTGTGATGGCGTAATATCAACAGCCCAAATTTCGCAACGATCATGTTAATTTATAAGACCTATTTGAGAACCTTTTTCTGTTACAGACAGACGAAGTTAAAAAAATAAATAAATAAATACATTTTAGAACACCTGGTATACTGCTGTGCTCTGCCTTTGCACAAATATCCCCTTGTATTCCGGGTACCGGGTATAACAATAACAACCGCAGCGACAGCGAAAGCCAGAACAGGAAGCTCCAGCTTCGTCGTCGGGTGTAGGGAAGTGCATTTGTTATTAATTTAAATAATACTCGAGTCGTGAGCTGCATCGCTGCTTGGGTATGACATCGGTTTGACCTTTCCGAACCGGTACAGACCAAGAAATCTTAAAGCACGACCGAGAAAAGCCGTATAGGCTGAATAAACTCCCAATTTCTCATGCACGGTTTGTTTTTCGTTAAATCAAAGCAATCAGCACTAATTGGACCTCGAACAGTTCATAAAAAGCGCTTCACCTCTACATAAATGCAACGCCGGGTGCAGACATCGTTGTTGACCCAAATAGCGATTAAAGCTCGTCAGTATTGCGTTGCATAACCTAAGGAGGAACAGGAAAGGGGTAAGCTTAGATATTTTAAATGCATAAATTCCAAAAAAAGAAAGTGGTACTGATAAAGTATTTTTTGCAGGCGGTGGGGCATCGGCGTGTCTTCTAAACATACACAGATAAGCACTCACATTAAAAAACTATCAGAGTGTGTTTCATTTCACTACCGAGCTGCTTTTTCCCTTTGATTCGTCCCGCTAATCACACCACTAATTACACTTTTTCAGCAAGGCTTTTCCAACCCCCGACACTAGCCCTAATTATGCGAAGTAAGCTACGCTACTTTATTCTGTTGGGAAAATCGTAATACAAATTACACAAACCAAATGCTGATTTGGCTGTGATGTTGTTTTGCATGTAATTGCTGCGATTCCTTCTGCAGCAATTAGTTTTTATAAATTTAGTCAATAGTTTTAATGTATATATATTCTTGATCAGCCAGCAAAATGTCTTGGGGAAAGTTTCCGTGAGGTTTTTTCGGAACAGAGAATTAACAGAGGTATATTTGAAGGTTTTTCGGAAATGAAAACTTGAACATGTCTGGGAAATTCGAATCCGTGTGAATCTTTCGGAAGTAAGAAGTGGAAATGGAAACATAAATTAAATATTTGTTTAAAGCAACAACATTCCGAATTTAATGCTTTTATGATTTACAAGTATCTATAAGATATTTTTGTCCGATTTGAATAAAATTATCAGCCCTGTTCCAGTTTTCACTTCCAAAAGATTCACACGGATTCGAATTTCCCCGACCTGTTCCAATTTTTAAGTTAAGTAACCTCTGTTATTTCTCTGTTAGCTTTCGCAGAACCGTAAGACTTTTCGCCAAACATTTGACTGACGGATTCGATCCGCAAGAATACAAATTAATTCTTTTAAAATACTTTGAGATAAGTTAATGATATTTTTGATGTTTTGTGAACAATACTGCATACAAAAACAGGTTAATAATAACGTATTTGACTTTTAAAAAATTAATTTTCGGTTGATAACTTAAAGTGCAAATGCTATTTTTACCTTATTCTTTGATTTTTTAAGAACATTGTTCCATAATAGTTTTGGTTAATAAAAACATATAAGACTCTTTAAAAATTATTTTGGCACCTCAGAATCGCTTCGATTCTAACCTACTGGAGTTTTGCGAATCCGCCGCCCCTGTTCTAGTTTCCGATGGAATTTGAAAGAAACAAAGCAAGGGCTGTCATGGTAAGAAAAAAATAATCATTTTCTTGGGACTTATTTTTAGCCGGCGCTTTTCGGTTTGTTTTTACATGATTAGAAGTGTAAATTGTCTAAGTTTAGTTTAAAAGTGTTTTTGTTCTTATTACCCCTTAATTTAATGTACTTATTGTGCAAGGCGTATTGTGTTTTGACCTTTTTCATCGACTTGAGAAAAGTTTGCAAAACTGGTGAAGCAGCTGATTCACACAAATTGTTCAACACTTTTGTTGGTCAGCTTTTATCACTGCCTTTAATATAAGTAGAACTCTACCAATGATGTTAATACCCTTGCAGAAGGTATTATAATTTCAGTCAGAAGTTTGCAACGCAGTGAAGGAGACTTCTCCGACCCTATAAAGTATATATATTCCTGATCAGGATCACTAGCAGAGTCGATCTAGCCATGTCCGTCAGTCCGTCCGTCTGTCCGTCCGTCTCTATGCAAACTAGTCCCTCAGTTTTAAAGCTATCTGAATGAAACTTTCCCAAAAGTTGTCTTTCTATTGCAGGTAGTATATAAGTCGGAACGAGCCGGATCGGACGACTATAGCATATAGCTCCCATAGGAACAATCGAAAAAAAAAAATAAAAAAAATTATAACTTTGCTGTTTTTTAATGTTTTTTTATTTCTTCGACACATAGTAATGGTTAAATATTTCAGAATTACGGTTTAAATTTCATCAAAATCGGACGACTATATCATATAGCTCCCAAAGGAACAATCGGAAAAAAATACAAAAAAAATTATAACATTGCTGTTTTTTAATTTTTTTGTTTGCTTCCTTTCTTGTTTTTTACTGATTTTAGACATTAAATGTGAGCACCAATAATGATCAAACATTTGTCTGGACAAGCATAGGCTGTTTTATTTTATGCGTTAAGCTAGTATACCATTAATGTCATCAGCTGAGGGACACCAGCGTGCCAAAATTTAATCAGCAGCAAAACTCTGACAAATCAACCGCCTTAGTCAGTAGGCAACAGCTGCCAGTTAGCTGATTTTGTTTCGGAACAAAAGGAACCAAAGGAAGAATTTTCCTATGTTTAATGTTATCAAATTCACTTCCGAGTGAAAACCGGAAACGGCCTGTGTATCAACTTTTTCGACCAGACGCACTGGCATAGTCAGTCACAAAACTACCTTTCCTTCCTACTCTCACCCGAAAAACAAACATAAAAAACTTGTCTGTGCAACATGCAACAGTTCTGGACTTTCCCCACTAACACCAAAAGTGCCAAGAAACGCTGGCATGCGGGAGAAAATAGAATAAATTTAAAACAAGCTGCCGCTCCCAAGCATTAAGGATAAAGCATTAAGTTTAAGAAGGTAGATAATCGGAAGCCTTCATTTAGGTTCGCATTAAAAAAAAAAACACAGTTCACCGCCGTAATAATCGCTTTAATTATACTTTAATCGTTCTGTAATCATTCTGAAATTTTTTGTTGTTTTTACCATGAAGATGGATGGCCAGCCATTCATTTACACAATTAAGCAGACAGCTCAGGACGAGCGGAAATGTGAGTTCGAAAGAAAGGCATTCAAAGTCGCGAAAGTAGATGCTACTTTAATGCTAATAAAGTTTAATCGCTTTTATGTTGAAGACTTTAGGAAACGTCTCAATTTGCATAAAGTTGAACTGGGCAGTTAAGCTCTTCCGACCTCGGAGTCACTACAAACTGTGGAAGCGGGCAGACTAAGGCCAAGAGATTAAATTGTTAATTCAATGTTGCATTTAAAGTTTGGAAATGTGTAATTTTATGTGTCGAATTTTTAAACTGTTTTGATCTTAAATCTATTTCATACATTTTAATGATAGACTACGCTATACGCTTTAGTGTTTCTTCATATGGCACATAATACAGGCTTGATTCATGCCAGTTACTTCATAATTTTACAGGATGTAGCCTTGGGATGGGAGCTGCAAAGAGACAAAAATAATACATTAAAATGACATTACTTAGACAGTTAAAAAATGTATAGAGCGATTCAGAAAGTTATTTTTTCTAAATCCCTTTTATTAAGTTTTTGGTAAGCCCCCAATTATCGATTCCCCGCATTGTCAATATATCAAATTTTACGACCATTTCGCCTAATTAAAAAGCATCAAAATATATATTCCGTAAAAAGTTTATGGCCACATTGCACTATGGGTTGAACGATCACTTTTTGTGACATTAATTAACGAAACGAGATAATTGGGTTGTCTTTTTGATTTAAGTTTTTAATAAGAAAAGGAAGGTACATTAAAGAAAAATGTTTTTTTAATGGATTTCATTTTTATTTTTTAACAAAAAGAGGGCTACTAAAAGCACTTAATTACAAAAAAATACGATCAATTCAATCTGTCGACACTCACAAGCAAATGCACAAACCACTCTGAATTTCGTCTAAAACATTAAGCTCAAGGGGTTACATGGGTTACCCGATTTCAAAAAATCTAATTTTTTTCTTATTAAATTCTATAACATTTCTAGAATATTTTACTAAATTTTCAATTTGATCCGCGTCATAGTTTTGGAGATACAGCCTTACCACTTTTATTTTCTCTTGAAACTTTTAAGGCGTTTTTCTCGAAGTTGTCTGTTTAAAATCGGCTCTCAAGATTTCTTGCGAACTACTCATCTGATATTAATAGGTACAATTTTCCATGAACGAAAGATTTTTTTTTCAGTACAATTAAAAAAAAATAAGTCAATAAATTTTCACCAAAACTAAAATGTTTGTGAAAATTTCATTTTTTCATAGTCCAATACCTAGTTTTTGGTTTAGGTAAAACATAATTTTTTTTTACTTCTGATAATCCTACAAAAAGTCAACACGGAGAGACAAGTGACTGCAGAAAATTACGCCGTAATAGACGAGTTTTTAATATTTTTTGTTTTAAATTTCACAAAATTGATTATAATTGATTATAATTTTCGTAAAAACAAAAAATAAAAAGTTAATAACATTTTTTTAATTTTTTATACAAAAAAAAAATATTGAAAATTGCCCGTTTTTTGTACGAGGAAACACCTTTTAAACACCGTTTAAAATCGTTTAAAATTCGTTTTTTTATTTATAGATTGTTTTCGTTTTTAAGCTTGTACGTGCGCACTCTACTACACACAGCTGTTTTAACAGGTGATAACGAACAGTGTTTGTCTCTGTTAAAATTTCTGGTACGTAAAATTGAAGTCGGATTTAAGATTAACGACTTTTTGGCCAGAAAAACTGGTCTCCATCCCACAGTGCATATCCAAAAAAGCTGAAAAAAGAAGCAGGCAATTAGGCGCCGCATAAGAACAAGGGCTAGAAGTAAATGTCACAGAATGGAAAGCAAATATTATCTGAGGCAGATGAGGGTCGAACAAAAATTAGCCTGAGACGGGGAGATATTCGAGGTGAGTGCGAACTGCAACGATAGTTTTCAAGCATTGACCAAATTGCTGGATGGGTGTCATCTTACACCGCTCAGTTCACCAAATGGCAAATGGGCTGGATATGGTTGAGAGTCTAATGGAGTGGTGCGAAGAGGAGACCTAACCAATTGACACGCTGTTAACTTTGAGTCTACAACAATGCGAATTGCAAAAAATTTTTATGGACAAACGGAGGCAGGGTAGCAAAAGGGAAGGAGCACGGAACAACATAACATCCTGCTCCTTGACGTGTGTGTGTGGCTCCCGCAAAAAGAAAACCGCAGGTCGACAGGATGAGTCGGCAGAGGACAATGTGTATTTTACGCTCTGCTAAATAAGCAATTTGCAAAATGTCGAAACCAATAACATAACAAATGACACAGTGGCTCCCCTAGCTGCACCATCCAGATCTACTTTGCGGTAATGACGAATGGGTTGGCAGCTCTTTTGAAATACAAAAAAAGCAAATTATGAAAATTAAAGCCTGGGCTGTTGCTTTTGAGCAACACGAGCTTGAAAGTTATTCTAGCTGCGGGAACATTCGGAGATCGCCTCATTTAGTTTGTTTTAAAGAAAGCAGCAATATTCTCCAAAATGTTTCCTTTAGAAAAGGAAAGACAGGAATTTAACCATGAATTTTCAAATCAGCCTCAACAGGGAACCTCCAGCTCGTCCACCCTCTTGACGGCTGGATAAATCATCCTTCAGATGGCTTTTCACGTTTGTCCTTCAGCGCAAGCCAATTGTCTCACCAAACAATGCCCAACGTTCGATCTCTCATTGTGAAAATATCATTAATTGGCTGGGACCTCAAAACGAACATAACATGTCAAAGGCATAAGTGACAAACTCCAAGCTAAAAGCACACTTTAAATATTAAAGCCAAACATCTCGGAGGACAATTGAGTAGACTGCTCATTTCTGAACCTAGCACAACGTCAACACAACCGCAAAACTTCAAACTAGAACGAAAAGAAGAAGGGAAATAACTGGGGCTATCGCAGACTCGAGGTTGTGAAGTCTAAACGTAAAGGCGTATAATTTACATCACACCTTAGGGGCAAGGATATTTGAGTGGTGCCTGGGACAGCCACGTAGGCGGCGTGACCAACACCTTTGGCCAGAAGGCTGATAGTGATAGTCATTATGAGAATGGCTTATGAGGATGATGAGTGGTATGACGACAGCATTAACAGCAAAGACAGGTCTGTTTATGAATATACCGTTGGCAGGGACAGAAGGGTGCTGAATTGAAACTGCACACATAATTGGCGTAGGACATCTTGTAGGCTCCATGCTGAGTAAAGCAAGTATGGGTGGCTGATTGTATGGGTTACGCGTCCGGGACAAACGTGCCGGAAATCAACTTAACACAACCGCAAAAGCGCAATCTCCTTTTGGCCAGCAACAGCAGCGGCCACATCCTCAGACCCTCAATGTTTCGGGCTTGCCATTTTTGGTAATTGGTGTGCAAGTTGGGGTCTATGCGCATCTTTCGACTGCCTTTTTGCCAGATCCACGGGTCTCGTGCTGGACATTAAGTTGCCGCTTTGGCACTCACAAATTGATTTAATGGCGCTGTGGTGCATCTGCATTCTCCTACTGACCCCCGGGACTACTGTGTATTTCCGCTGTTGTGAAGCCATTTTGTTCGCTCTTTGGTTTCACGCAGTTTGATTTCGAACAGGACTTGTTTGGCCTCAGTCTCTTCGGCCGGAGCTGCAGTTGCCGGACTTTTTGGAGATCAAGTTGGTCCCTGCGGTCTCATAATGATGTGGTAATGTGTCTCGCTGACCTTTTTGCATGCAAAGCTCCCAGCACAGGACATTCTGAATGGGTTTGCCAGTCTGGTGCCCTGAAACATGGCATGGAAAATAATAAATTACTTATGCTCACTAGAAGGCGTGTCAATATGCAAAGGGAAAATGCGGTTGACACCTCAATGCGGTAAGGACACCAACAAAATGGGGGTTTAGCGGTCTAATTGCAGACCTTAGTTATTTAGTTATTTATTTATTTATTCGCCAATGAATAAATCCTTATCTGGCTATCAGCTAACTTAAAACTAAGTATTAATTAAAAAATATTCCCTAAGTAATTGCCTAAGCACATCCTTCTTGGATCCCCAAACCAATCGAATACTTAGTGGCAACGAGTTAAAAAGTCTTAAAGTTCTTAAGATTGGCTCATTACGCAGCACTTTCAAAAAATGGGATGATGGTACTATATGATATGGTCGTCCGATTTTGATGAAATTCAAGCCGTAATTCTAAAATATTTAACCATTATTTTACGTCGAAGAACTATAAAAAAATTTTAAAAAACGGCAAAGTTATGTTTTTTTTTCATTTATTTTTCCGATTGTTCCTAGGGGAGCTTTATGCTATAGTCGTCCGAACCGGCTCGTTCCGACTTATATACTACCTGTAATAGAAAGACAACTTTTGCAAAAGTTTCATGCTTTCATAGCTTTAAAACTGACGGACTAGTTTGCGTAGAAACGGACGGACAGACGGACATGGCTCGATCGAATCTCTTAGTGATGCTGATCAAGAATATATATTGGGAAGTGGGCGAGCATTTGACCAGACGAGCTACACTCAAAAAATTATTTTTTTTATAGCATATACAAGACAAATTCAATAAGAAAACTTGTAACCTCTGAAGGTATTTACTTAAGCAGATCACGTGGTCGTGGTATCAAGAAGATGGCCAAAACAACTTTTTATAGAGAAGTCGACATGTCATTTTTTTCGCTTCATAATAGCGTATTAATATTATATTTGGAATATTGGCAACATTGGGAAAAACACTTCGTAAGGCGTTGTTGGCCCCAATTGAATATATCAAATACTTTCACACGGCAGGATAGGTTGCTATTCATATATTCAGTATCTAATTTTTCTTAATGTTTTGCGTTTTTTATGCAGAGGGTATTTTATATTCGGCCAGAAGTTTGCATCGCAGTGAAGGAGGTATAAATATAAATAAATATATGTCCGCCTATCCGTCCGTCCGTCCGTCTTTATAGGGTCGGAAACGTCTCCTTCACTGCGTTGCAAACTTCTGACTGAAATTATAATACCCTCTGCAAGGGTATAAAAAATGGTGGCATACAAAATTTGGAGTGTCATTTTCTGAATCAGGGAGTCCATCTGAACCGGAAAATTAAGGTTTGATCTCTGGAGGATTTTGTCTTAAACATCTCGTCAATTTCGTTTTACAAACCAAACTAGACTTTGGCTTTAGAAGAAAAACACTAGACCTTTTCTAAAATTAAAAGTTTAAAAGTTAAAGTTAAAATGGAATGAAGAATGGAGTTTTCCAAAAGGATAGTCTAGGATGTAAAATTGTTGGAACATCAATCACTGCTTAACTTTTAAAGTCCTGGTTTCAAATCCCTTGCTAGGTGAACAATTTATTTTTTTTTTTTTTCAAAAATCGTGAAAATAGTGATGGTTTAATAAATGGACAGCCCCCAATGTACTAGCCACGTAACAATACTGTTTTTAACTAC